GGCACACTTGTACTGGGCACACTAGTACAGTTTGTATAAAGCTGCTTCTTTTATATTTTGGCTGGAAAATACAAACACTTCTAAAAACTAAAGTAGTAAAATGGCTTGGGGAACTGCAACAGTTCCTAAAATAATAAATTTGATTTGATTGAAAAGATTACCATTGAAAGGAGTGTAGTTAGAACTGAAACTTCAATAGCTTTTATTAATTCTCTTAAAGGTATCTTTTTTGGAGTCTGCTGCATTTTACACTAAATTAATGCTATATTATAATTAAAATTCCCTTGTGTAGCATGCATATATGCTTGCATAATTATTTATTTTAATGTTTAAATTACTTTATTAAATAAACATATGTAATAACCATATTACTATACAGATAATCCTTGACTTAACTATCCGTTGCTTAACAAGTGTTTAATATGACAGACTTTCCTAGAGATATTTATGACCCATCTTTACAGTTAATTGCAGCATTGTGTGGTCATATGGCCACAATTTGTTACTTTTTTGTCAGTTTTCAGCAAAAAAAACTCAGGGAAAATAGATACTTGAAAAAAACCCACTGCATTCACTTAATGGCCATTATAAAAATTGCTCTTATCTTCAAATCTAGACATGTGTTCTCTTGATTTACCATTGTAATTCCAGACTCAATTACAGTTATACGTTGAAGACTATCTGTACTAATTAAAATAGGACCTAGAATAAATTTAGATGATACAAGATAAGTTTCTGTCTCTAATGATGTTTTGTAGAATATGTATTTATAAATACCTTTTTTATAGTGAAGTATTATGTTGTACTTGAGAATATATTAAATATATTAATGATTATTTGTTTTTTTAATCAGGAGAAGATACCCTTGACATTTTAAGTAGACAATATGGAAGGCTGCCATATACAATTCTGAATACTTTAAAGAACTGCAATATAGAGACAGCATTAGAACAGTCTGCATGTCTACTAATAACTGAGGCAGATGTGATCAAGAACAAAAATTCTGTTAAACTTTGTTTTTGGAAGCAGACTAAAAACTATTGTAACACTACTTTTTCTATCACAAATACAGCATATCCAGAAAATTTTGACATAAGAATACTTGAAAAGAAAATTGAAAAAAGTGCATTGGTGAAGTATCAGAATGAAAGATTTGAATGGCTTCCTATGTATAATTTTCCGCCCTGCAAAAAGAGTCTAGTAGTAAAATCATTTGATCGTTGTAAGACGTTATTACAATCTACAGGTATCAAGCCTCAAAGCTATAAAATTAATTGTGGATTTCTGTATACTGCATTTGATCAAGGAAAATCCCTATCTTCTAAGGGTATGGGACAGAAAGAACTTAGTAGTATCCTTAATGTAATACATGATATAATCACACAAAAAGACATTTTGGTTTCAAGAGAAATGTTCCAACATACTAAAAGTCAACATGGAAAGCGAATCAAGAAAAATAAATTGTCCATGGATTTTAAAAAGCCAAGCAAAAAGCTAAAAATGCCAGAGAACCTAGAAGAATCATCAGTCATGAAAGTTCTCGTAAATGAGGATTTTTCCACAGAACATGGAATACCAATAGAAGAAAATACTGTTGCCGTAGATTCTGCAGTAATTTCAGAAAAACTAGATTATAATGACACAAATATCTTATCTTTACTTGATTGTATACCTGATTTTAGTCTCGAGCTGCCTTCTCAAAATCAAGTTGCCACCATGTCTAGCAATGAAACAGCAGACCAAGAGCACTTCATTACATACGGTTACAGTATTTTTGAGAAATCGGTAGTTCTCGAAACAGACAAGAATGAATTAAAAGAAATAGAGGCATTTATTGACTTCAGTAAAATAGATGAAAAGAAATCCATAGCGGAGACACTGGATAGTGAAAAAAGTATGATCTGTAATAGTAATGCTACTCCCTACATGAAAAGAAAAAGGACATGTAACATAAAAATTAAAAAAACTGGTAGGAAGCTGCAACTGTATAGCTGTCAAAGGGCAATCCCAATTAGTGGTAAAAATATATGGCCTCGTGAATCATGCACAAGGACATCCTTGTGGGTTTGTAAAAATCATGCATGGGATTCACATAGAGGATATTTAGAAGATACTGATTCAGTAACAAAATGCAGCAAATTGGAGGTTCATAAACCATTGGTAGATAGTTGTAAAATATCTATAAATACAATGGAATGTGTTGTTGAAAGCCCATTTTCAGACTGCATATTGCATGTAGGCAAGATACTTTCACCTATTACTGAGAATAGGTTTTCTTATAATATGGAAAGATCTAAACAAAGTACACTTGGTACTGAAATTGTAAAATCAAAAGTGATTTTGAATTTATTAAGGAAAGAAGTCAAAGAAAAAAGTATAAATATTCAGAATAACTCATTTGCAGGCATTAGGAAAAAGAGGATAGATAATCCAAAAGCATCAGTTACCAAACAAAAAACAGTGTTGAAAAATTTGACATCAGGAACTTTGTCAAATTTCAAAATTCCTTTACTTAAGGGTAAAGGTAATTTTAGAAAACTAGAAACTGAAACATCATCCCAAAAAAATACTGGCAATTCTTCAAATGTTTTAGAGAACGCTCTTTCTCTAAAAGAAGCTAGAATTAAAGTGGCTTCATCTGACAAAAATTCTAGCTCACAAATCCTATCAGAACAGGAGAATTATATGTCTGGACTGGAAAAATACATACATCAATTCAACAGTGATATTTCTGAAAATGTTTCTAAAAAGAGAAGAATTTGTAATATTTTTGAGAATACTTCACATAAGAATAAACTAAAATCACCAACTTTGAATGCTACTCCTTTCTCTTTGAGTACTGGAAACATAGAGGAACAAATGCTAAATTCTGCTTTGGCCTCAGAAATTATTGATAAAGTTAATGTCAACAATAAGTTGGCACAGAACAAAGATGATATTTGTGCAGATATTCCTAAGGTTTATGAAGATGATATTCTTGTAATTGATGTTATTCAAGATGATCCTGACCTGTTTGGAGATAATGTTGAGCAAGAAGATGACTATGCAAAGATTCATAATACTAAAAAAATGCATAGCAGTCACTTTTCAAAAAAAGATCTGGAATGGAAATCGAAATCATCTCAACTTTCAAAAAGCAAGAAATTGAAATGCATTAGGTAGGCTTGTTGCTTCGAATTTTGTGTGTGTGTGTGTGTTTATTTATGGTGTGGCTTTTCTTAAAGTACAATTCAAAGATTTTTAAGAAAACAAAATCTTAGAACTATAGAATATGAAGTGATCTAGTAAAAGTGGTGTGATGAATTAGAATTTGGGAGTTGGGAGGATAATCAAGAGTATACCTTATTCCTACACTATATTAAAATTGTTCACAGAGAAATTTGAAGCATGTCAACGGTAATTGTAAAACAAACGTCTTCTAATAGGATTTTATATGATTGTTTTGTTTTAAATATGCAATAGCACTTACCTATAGTAAAGAATCTAGCTATTTATGTTCAGACATATTTGGGTTCATATTCACATTATTACACATTACAGATAGGAAAAAGTACAAAATAGAGTATATTCTTAAATGTTAAGATTTAAATACAAATTATTTTGCTTTTTTTTTTTTTTTTCATTTAAACATCTAGCTCAGGGGTGTCAAATTCAAGGCCTGGGGCCCAGATCTGGCCTATGGGGTGCTTAGATCTGGCCCGCAGGGCCATCCTTGAAACAGTGAAGGACCAATCCGTGGTGCCTCTGCCAGTGAAAACAGCTTGGGAGGGCCGTGTGAGGCTCTGTTTTCGCTGGTAGAGGGTTGCAGGAGGCTGCCACAGCCGAAAACAGAGCTTGAGAGCCCGTTGTTGCTGGCAGAGCGCTCAAGCTACCATAGGCACTCCCGACACTAGTGGCGTTAAACTGGCCATGCCCACCCTAGCCCCCAAGGTCAAACACAACCCTGATACGGCCCTCAATGAGATTGAGTTTGACATCCATGACCTAGATAAATCTTCATGCCTAAATGGTATGTCAAGTAGTGCAATAACATCCATTTTAGATGGTACAAATGGTAATGAATTATCATAGTTTCAGTATTCCAGGTTTGACTCTTGTGAGATAAGGTTATACAATAAAAGTGCCTAATTTTAGAGAGGAACACTTAATGTTTGTCTTCAGAACAATTCTCCAGAATTATTGTGTGTGTGGTGTGTGTGCAATTTTTTCTGAAATACTAAAACATTTAATGAAAGACAAGCATAACAAAAGAACCAACTTAGAAAACATTTAACTTTGTCTTTAAAATAATAAAATATTGCATGCATGCATCACATCAACAGTTCAAACTAAGATGTTATTTGTATGACCCTTGATAGAATACTTTCTTGCCCACAAGATCCACATTCATCTCCAAACTATTTCCTTCAGATTCTTAAAGGGCTACTCTCATTTATTTGTTCTTGATGTTACTTCATCTTCCAGATGATATTTCTTTATTTAAGTGGCGTTTTCTGAACAAATTAGTTGGAAATATAAGAGTAGTTTATTTCTTGGTTATTCAGTACTTGCATCTGATCCCATATTATTCCTGAACTAAGTTGCATGTATTTGTTATAATGATTGAAGTTGATGAAATTGCTGTATGTATAGCTTCTACATATAATGAATTTGGTGTAGTGCAGGGGTCTCCAAACTGTAGCTTTGGGCTACATCTACCCCCCTGAAAGGTTCCTTCCAGCCTGCCAGCTCCTCCATGTGCTGTGCTCTGATCCTTCCCAAACAGCGCAGGGAGAGAAAGCAGGGTTATATTCATCATTGTTTGGAAAGGAAAGTAGGATTCCCTTGATTTCTCCAATTCGGGAGAAGGGGTATTGCAAGCCAGCTGGAGAGTTGCTGGATGAGGAAGAGGAAGCATAAATTATGAGTAAAATAGAGTGTTATGCTGTGCTGTTTTAGTAGAATGATAAGGGCTTGATAATACAATTTTCCTTAAATTTTATAAAATCTTTCATTTACAGAGACAGCCTCATTCAAGATTATGAAACACTGAAATTGGATGAAAATGCTGATGGTTTGGTGATACAAGGTAAAGAGATTAAAATGCAGAAATGGAGACAAAATAGTTTACATAATTTTTGACAACATAGTTAATTTGCATAATTGTGTAATAAATAAATTGATGTATATAATATACAACATGTATGTATAATGCATAGATCTAGCAATGGTCCAGACAGATTTTGGAAAGAATAGATTACGTGTTAGTTTATAGGGAAAGTCCAAACAGAAATATGGTCATTATAAGATAGTCCTTGACTTGGGACCATTTGATGACTATTCAAAGTTATGACAACCTCAGAAAAAATGCTTTATCTATACTTGCACTCATTTTTGGTTCTTTTATTTTAAAAAAAATCAAAATTTCAAAAAAAAATTAAAAAAAACATTAAAAACATTTTAATGTTTTCTTTAAAACAAATAAAAACTAACAGATGAGAATTGAATAGAATAACTTTATTGTCACTTTGATTGTACACTAATCGGCATACATTAAAATGAAATTTCGTTGCATACAGTTCTCAAAGGATTACCACCTCCAATATATACTACATAACCATGACAAAATACATACATACATACATACATACATACATACATACATACATAGTCTAGTTCGTACATGTCGAGAAAAACAAATCTTGTAAATTTGGGTGGATGGCATAGGGAACAAAGCTGTTACAGAATCTGGTAGTCTTGCTAGAAATGCTTCAGAACTTCCTCCCAAAGGGGAGCAACAGAAACAGACCGTAAAGTGGGTGTGTATGGGTCTCTAACAATGCTTTGAGCTCTAAGCACATAGTGCTTATAAGCAGTTTATAAGATGAATTACGGGGAGCAAGCTTCCTATAATCATCTCAGCTGTCCTTATCACTCTGTATGGACTTTCTCTCTGATGCACTGCTGCCACCAAACCAAACAGTGATGTAGTTTGTTAAAACGCTCTCAATCGTGCCTCTAAAAGGTGGCCAGGACAGAAGGAAAAATATGTGCTGGTTTTCATCCTTCACTAAGGATGATGTGTGGGGAGACCAAATCAGATTGTTAGTTTTCTGCACCCACAGATACTTACCGTATTTTCCGGTGTATAAGATGACTTTTTAACACATGAAAATCTCAAAAGTTGGGGGTCATCTTATACGCCAGGTGTCGTTCTCCTGTAACCAGGCAGACCAGCCTGAAAGGCTCTGACGAGCCTTAAATGGCTCTGATGAGCCAGGCTCTGACCATCCCAGCTGAGTTGCCTGCTGGGATCGCCAGAGCAATTTAAAAGGAAAAAACTTTTTTTCTTTTACATGGCTCTGGCGATCCAAGCTCTGGCGATCCCAGCTGAGTTGCCTGCTAATCAGGCAACTCAGCTTGGATCGCCAGAGTCATGTAAAAGGAAAAACCTTTTTTCTTTTACATGGCTCTGGCGATCCAAGCTCTGGCGATCCTAGCTGAGTTGCCTGCTAATCAGGCAACTCAGTTTGGATCGCCAGAGCCATGTAAAAGGAAAAAAGTTTTCCCCCTCCAGCTTGCTTATCTTAGCTGCTAGTCGCAACGCTTGCCTTGCTTCGCTTGCCTGCAATCCATTTCATCAGCAAGCAACTCCCTACCTGCAATCAAGCAGGCAGAGAGTTGTGGACTTCAACTTCCAGAATTCCTCAGCCAGCAAAGCGAAGCTGGCTGAGGAATTCTGGGAGCTGAAGTCTACAAGTCTTAAAGTTGCCAAGGTTGGAGACCCCTGTTCTATTGGGTAAGTTTTTTCCCCTTTGGGAGCTTTAAAAAAAATAGTTAATTGGGGGTTTTTTTAGTTGTTCTTTTTTAGACCTAGCCATTTAAAGTTTAGGAAGTTTTAAATTTAGCTTTCATATAAAAATTAAAATAAAATAAAGTAAAATAATATTTGTGCAGCTTTCTGAGATTTAGTGTGTTTCTGTAGTGTTACTACTTCTGTACTGTTTCACAAAGCTGTATGTGAAATTTTGTGTGTGTAAAGTGTGAAAGTTGGGTTTTTGGGCTTTTTGTGGCTGTGTGAGGTTCCTGCTTGTTGCAGGGGCAATTTGGGTCTAGCACAGCTGCTTTTACATTGTGGGTGAGCCAGTTGATGTTTTTTAATTTTTATTTGGTGTGTGTTGGAAGAGGAGTAGTCTTATACGGCGAGTATAGCCCAAACCCTATATTTTAACAGGAAAAGTCGGGGGTCATCTTATACGCTCAGTCGTCTTATACACCGGAAAATACGGTAATACTGTTGACCACTTCTACAGTTGCATCCTTGACACTGAGTGGAGTATGACTATGCCAACTCTTTCTAAAATCTACAGTGATTTCCTTGGTTTTATCAACTTTTATAACCAGGTTACTTTAATTACATCAGTCCACCAAAGCCTTCACCTCTTCCCTATAAGCATCTTCACTGTCATCCCGGATAAGACCCACAACTTCCGTGTCATCCGCATACTTCACATGATTTGTAGCAGATTTGGCACAGCAGTCATGGATCATCAAAGTGAACAGTAGTGGACTCAAGACACAGCCCTGTGGGAAACCTGTACTCAAGGAGATGGAGTTGGAAACTTGGAAACATAGAAACATATTATCCCTCCAGTTGAATACTGATCAATACTACAATTTAATTCCCCATCCCTCGCAAAATAAGCCCCAAAATTTTTTAAAAAACTAATTCTATTTGTAAATTATTAACCTGTCATCTATATACTATATTAATGATAAAATAGTTAACAAGAACAATAATAATAAAAAAGGCAATATTAAAGTTTCCAAACCATCTGTTAACAAACTCTTTCTAATCAACTTGTAGAAAATTTATCACAGCATTTTATCATTCTAAATCATTCCAAGAGTTAACAGTAATTCTTCCTGAATTAAGTATTCACATTTGTTTCTTAATACCATCTCTTATCAATTGTCTGGTCAAACATAATAAATTGAATCTCCAAAGTCAGTCTATCTTCACAAAAAAAAGTCCAGATAAAATTGTTTTTCGATTAAATGTATAAAATCCATTCCCCAATGTCCTTCAGTCCTTTTGGAAAAAATCAATTTATCACTTCCCCCTCACTCAGGTTGCTTCTGTTATAAAAAAATGCTGGCTTGAAGGGGAGGGGTATGCAATCAGCTCAGTTCTAAGTCTGTACAGTCCATATTTCTTTCCAACAGATCTCCTGCTTTCAAATCACATTCTTTCTGGGGACCTAATTTATTAAGAGCTACAGACATCTGAATATTTTCTACAACTATTATCAGTTCATCAAACTTTTGAAAAAATCTTTTAACTAAGGGTGTTTTTTCAGTTACCAGCCACATCCTGTACTTGCACTTATGAAGGTCATACCTCTCCCACACATGTGTGATCATAATTTGGGCACTTGGCAACTGGCTCACATTTACATCTGATGAGCAGCTTACAGTCATGTGATGATGATTTGCAATCTTTTTCAGCTTTTTGCCAAAAAAATCCCTTGGGGAAGTTGGATTTGCTTAACAATCAACCATGTGATTCACTAAAAGATTGGTGATTTGCTATTTGACCATGGTAAAAATAGTTGTAAAATCGGGTTCAGTCATATAATATTTATGACTGCATTTACGATTACTTTGGAATTATGAGTTCTTCAGATATCTAAAAATCCTGTAAGGTTTTATATGCTTTAAACTCATGCTTTTCTATTAGCAAAATATGTTATTTTTATCCCTAGTTATGGTTAAATTTTCTTTTTCCAAAACATTCTGAAATTTATAATAAGTTTAAAGTGTATAAAACCTGACAGGACTCAGGGGTAATAGAATAATGAGATATCTTAGACACTGCCTACCAGAGCTGTTTTTACCTTGCCTGTTCAGATTCCTTATAGAATCCCTGCCTAAATTGTTTTACTATAATATCAGTTTCTTCTCATATGCTTTTTCAGCACACTATTCACTTTAGTTGTCTAATGTATTTTACTCAAGAAGTCCTTAATTTAAATAAGAACCGTAAAGAATCTCATATCTTATCCAAATGCCAATGTCAATTGAGAACTAACAATAATCAGCATATGGGACATAATTAACCATATTAAATTATATTGTTCTTTTGGTATGTTCCAGATTACAGTTTTATTTTTAAAACAGGTTCAGACTTAAAGTTGTTATCACAAGTCAATTGATAATCAATTGCATCCAATATTTATTACTTTTCAGTCCATTAATTAATAATTAACAGAAAATATATTGTAGGAAATAGATTTTTTGCCACCTAAAATTAGGGTTCCACAGAAATTTTATATGGTTCCAGAGAGACTAAGGGCAAAAATAAAGTTACTTGCATTTAGCCAATTTTAGATTAAAAGGCAAACAGGAGTTCTGGGATTTTTTAAAAAACTAAGGTTCCAACAGCTTGAAAAAGTTAAGAAACCCCAGTTTTAGAGAAACGTCGTTAACTGTTTTTGTATAAAAAGTTCTGGTCCAATTAACATGCAAGCCAAGCATACATTTTATGTATAATGCCATAATGCTCCCCTTGCCTGTGGTTTGCTTTGTATTTGTATAAAGTATTGCATTGTGTTCTAAATATAAAAGGAAAAGAAGCATGTAGATTATTAGCATTCTCCTCCTATTGGATTTGTTGCTAGGTACTGTGCTAGAATTAGGTTTTTCAACCTGTGAACCAGGACATAACCATATAATTAATTAATTAATGATTCTATACAGCTTAATTAAAAATGAGATCACTATATACTTTGTTTTTAGAGAATTAAGAATTCTGTAGTTTATTTGTAATTCTTGAGAATTTATCATATCTGAATTATGTCTGAATTTTTTTGAAACATTAAATTATAGCAATTCATAGGAACTTTAAATTGCATTCCAGTTAATGTTATTGTTTGGCCAACTATTTCCCCTTCTTTAATATGTGTATACTGTATGTGTACATGTGAAATTTAAAAATTAATTAAGATTTTAAAAATGTATTAACCTTTATTTTAAGAATTTTGACATATTAATCTCTATTGGAGCATTTAGGGCTTGATATCAAATGAGTTATGTAGTGACATATTCTCATGATAATTACAGCTTCATGTTTTGAATGGTATAAGTGGCAACCATTGATCAAATGATTAATAATGTCGTATCATCTGGTACCACAAGTTTCTTTCCAACATAGAGGTGTCATTTTAAATGTAGAGTTACTACTTTAGGAATTTTGGAAAATACCCATTTTTCAGTTAAGCATTCCGTTTCTAATGTTGCTGTAGTTTAGAAGTATACATGACATTCTTTTTCCCAATTGATGAAGTTAAGTTAGAGGCTCTAAATGGAATCAATTCTATAGGAGGAATATCAGAATCATCTCCTGAAGATGGACAGCTGTCAGAACCGAATAAACTTACCGAGGTTTTTGATACAGATGAAAAGGTATAGAAGTACATTGATTTTGTTGCATAATAATAATTCAATATGTAATGAATACTGCATTGGGGAAAGTTTATCTTTTACAAGTAATATGTTGCACTTTTTTACATATGTTTATATGTATATATTTTTCCCACTGAGATCAGTAGTTCTAATTCCAGGTAAATGTACAAAGATTTATAATGTAAAGGTTGCTGACATACTAACTTGGGAGAAAATTATCTAAAAGAAATGGGATTTACTTGGAGTTGACATGTATAGGTTTCAATTAGATACTGAAGATTAGATTGCTAAATATAAATATTTTTCCAAAGATTGTTTCTGATGTTCTGTGTGGAATCTATTGGTGCTATTAAATTTATTTTGACATATGAAGTATAGCAAAGGAATGAGAACATATATAATTTTTATTGTAACATGGCTTTGTTAATAAGATGAGCTGCATAATGAAGTTTTTGAATTACTTTTAGAGAGCTACTAGGAATATGCATATTGCTTTATTAAAATGTCCACTAGAAAATTATAGTACAAGAATATAATCAAAAAGAATTATTCCTGTAGTTCTTTTTAAGAATATGGATTACTTTTAAAACAAAAATCATTTCTAAATTTTATATAACTTTATTTTGATGTTCATTTTACAGTATGAATTTTCAAAGAAATTGCTTGCTATGCAAGAACAGAAAACAAATGTTCAAGACTTTGCAAAAATGTATGTATTCAGATAGTAATATTCAAATCAGTCTTAATTATGTGAAGGAAAAAACTTTCTCATATTTATTTTCGTTTAATTTTAAGATTTAAATTAGATGTCGGTTCCAAACATTAACTAACTGCTCAGAAACTCTTTAAAAAAACCTGTTTGAAAGTACATTCCCAGACTGAGAGCCATCAATAAAAGCAGTTTAGCCTCTTATGTTCTTTACTGTCATGGACTGAAGGGACAGCCAGAAAAAAGAGTTCTGAAACTCTACCATAAAATCTGTTAATTTTCACAAGTGAAAAGCTTTTATTTAGAAACTTGGATGCAGATATTTTAGATTTCCTTTAATTTATTGAAGTCATTGTAGCTAATACTTCTTAGAAATAGGTTATAAATTATATTAATATGTTCCAGTTGATCATTTTCAGTGTTATCTATATAGCTGTTATTTGAATTATTTGAAATTAAATTAATTTTGGAGGCAATCTCCACATACAAAGCATTGCAATTACTAAATATGGAAAAACGAGACAGTGGATAACTATACAGCTATCACTTTGCTTTGATTGCACTTAGCACATCAATTTCAGCTGCTTAATAATAGGTCATATCACAGATGTTGTTTGAGGAATTAAGATATACAACTAGCCAGTAAGGAAATATAACAATAAAGAAGGCTCTAAGATTGATTGATTGATGCAATTTGATTGAGCCAAACTCCGTTTCGCTCTGGGTAGCTGACATTGAAAAAGTGTTTTAAAAATACAAAATAAAAGTCCATTTGCTACTTTACCATGAATCAAGAAATTTATGTCCTTTAAGAGGAACATTTTTGCTTTTTTGAAAGGAAGGGGATACAGATTTACAGATTATAATAGTGCAAATTTAATAATGTAGTATTTTATTTTCTACATTAATAGTCATGTGAATATCTGTTTCTCCATCTGGAATATAGTGAGAATACCCTAACAATTGAACCTCTGAGCTGTGATCATCAATTGGAATTGTCATTTCCTACTGTGAAGGCCATTGTTCCTCAACAGCAAGACCCAGCACTAAAATCAAGGATGAATGGTATAAATTAATAATGTTTAAGTATTATATTATTTTTCTGTTGTATTACTTTTTCATCTACATATAAAGATCCTTTTCCTGTTCAACGTGTTATTTGAACATTTTTGAATTGTTCTATAAAGAAACTTGTAAGGTGATGTAATTATTTGATATGAATTATGCTTTAGAATTTCATAGGACTATTTGGAGAGGACAGAAAAGTAGTTCTATCCGTTATAACATAGACTTGGGGTATACTATAATGCCTGTCAAAATGTCTGTATAATAGAAGTTAATATAAATAACTGCACACTGTACTTATCTAGAGAATAATCATAAAAATGGTGTCAGCTTAAAACAAACAGCACTTATTTAACATAAAATAGTAACATTGGAGTGATAACATACATTTTTAATTGTTGGTTTTATACTTTGTTTTCTATCATAATTCTTGGAAAGAGTGTCAAATATAGAAATGAGAATTTCAGAGAAATATATTTAATTTAAGTATTATTTAATATATTTTTACATAAGCAGTTTTCTTATCTTCAACATTAGATTTCAGATTCCCAAGGAAATGTCCTCGTTTGCCCTTATCAACTACTAATAGTTATAAAACCTGGAAAGGAGAAAAACATCCAGGGGTAAGTTTCAGAACTTTATGTATTTATAACTAAGCTTAAACTAAGTCGTATTTAACAGTTTAAATATATTCAATTTGTCATTATCTCTAAAACAAACATAAATAATTTATATTTATGCAATAATTTATTACCACAACTTCTGAAAAGTTTGTCTAGAAAAATCTCTCAGTGATTACCACTCCAAATGTAAAAGATGTGATTTCTTTAATGGCCAAGAAGAGGGGTTTTTTTTTATCATAAAGATACTTGGAAAGACAAAAAATTAGGTTCACAAAGGATTCTAAATGATTTAAGACCTTTCTAGTGTCTTGCTAGAAACTTGCTGGAAAAAATAGCATATAATAAATTACTGTGTTTCTTCAAAAATAAGACCTACCCAGAAAATAAGCCCTAGCATGATTTTTCATGCTGTTCGCAATGTAAGTCTTACCCCCAAAATAAAACCCTAGTTAAGAGAGTCATTGGCAGGGGATGTAGCTGGTAGCCAGTATAGGAGGCAGCGAGAGCGTGCGCAGGGGCTGACAGTGTCTGGAAGCAGCTGCAACCCACCAGTCCCTTGGCTGATGCACTCTGGGACTGCGTAGCTACGTAGCACAGGTAAATCCCTCCAGGCAGCAGGGGGCAGCAGAGGCACAGGGGGAGGCATGCGATCCATCCACAGTCTTTGCTTGCAGAGTGTGCAGCAGAGCTGAAGGACGAGGTTGGATGGCAGGGCCTGAGAGAGCAAGGGCCATCCCCGCCCCATCACTTGCCAAGTCTCACGGCAGCAGCACCAGCAGAATCAGAGGCACAGGGATGGAGGAGTCACGTGATCCGGCCTGCCGGATGTGCAGCAGAGCTGCCCGTCCATCTGTCCATCTTTGCTTGCCTTCGGCTATGATGGGACAAGCAGCTGCGTGGCACATCCGGTAGGCCGAATTACATGCCTCCCCCACCCCGCCCACCCCATCCTGCTGCTTATTGGTGCTGCCACCACTAGGTGAGGCAAGGCAGGTGGCAGGGTGAGAGTGGCACCACACCGTGGCCCCTGCACACTCGCCACCAGCCATCCAACCTGGTCCTCCAGCTCTGCTGCACACTCCGCAAGCAAAGACAGACAATGGGACAGATCGTGTGCCTTCCCCCACTCCCATGCTTTTGTCTTCACCTGCTGTTTGGTGGGACTTACCCTCAAGGCTGTTTTCCCCCTTTTAAACCTGACCTCCTTTTCCAAAGGCTATCATCCAGAAGGAACAATCTCCTCCCCCTGGATCCAGCCAAGACAGAAGCTGCCCTTTGCATCTGCCAGTCAGCAAAGCGGTTCTTCATTTCATTTTCCTCTGCGGGGGCCCACCCAACCCCTATGGCCATTAAAATATCATTTGTTGGACTTACAAATAACCCTCTCTCCAAGTGCATTTCCACCTCAGCAAATCCAAGGGCTCCCTGCTGTAAACTCTCCCCGAGGCTGACACTTGGCTCTCACCATTACCACGCACGCACCCAATGAACCACAGTTGAGCTGCTCCATCCATTCACGGGATCTTAAAGGGACACGGCTCTGATTTATTGCTTTTTATGTTCCCCCTCCCGTTTTGAGACAATGGAACAGCTTCTCTTCCCAAAACAATTGAGCCCAACACTACCGGGAGAGTTGCAAAATTAACCCGAACATGGCACAAGGAACAGCCACCGCTTTTCCCAGGGGATGTGTGCAGGAAAAGCATGGAGAGGCAGGTATCCTCGCCCTGACAGCAGGGAATGATGGGGCTTTTTATCCTTCACTTCAGAAGCAAGAAGGAGGGAAAAGGAGAGCAGTCACTCATGGGCTGCCTCTTTGCAGGCTACTCCACAGGCTTGCTTGCGGGAACCCAGGGCAAAAGGAAAGGTCTGTGCCTTGCAGATTGGTCCCGAACTGAACCTCCCCTTTGAACTTGGCCTCTCTCCTTGGAGGGAGATGGAGAGTTAGGCTGGGCTGAAACAGGAGAAAGTGGGGAGAGAAGCCACACAGCTCTCCATGGGACCTCTCAGGAGACATGGTGTGCAAATGTAAAAGCCACTTCTTCCAAGTCAGCAGCAGCGCCTGGGCTCTGGCAGCAGGCCCGCTTCATCCTCTCCCTGGGAGTGTCTTGTCAGTGTCCCCTTGATGGCCCTTCCCCTGCCCCTGCACATTTCCCAGAGGGGGAGAGAGAGAGGAGGAGAGAACAAATGAAAAGGGCGCCTGGACTTTTGGCGCTTCATTTTGATTTGCATGCTGTGCCTCCTGAGAGGTCTTGTGGAGAGACGGGCAAGCCCCTCATCCTTAGCTGCTGGATATAGGGCTAGGCTGGGCTGAAGCAGAGAAGAAAGAGCAGAGAGAAGCTGTACAGCTAAGGACAAGTGGCTCACCTGCCTGTCTACAAGACCTCAGCAGACACAGCATGCAAATGTAAAAGCCTCTCCTTCCAAGTCAGCAGCAGCACCTGAATCAAAACAAAGCGCTGCGAGTCTGGGTGCCCTTCCCATTTGTTCCCCCTTTCTCTCTCACCCCCTCTCCCTCCCTGGGAACTGTGCAAGGGAGGGGAAGGGCCATCAAGGGACGCTGACAAGGCACTCCTGGGGAGAGGACGAAGTGGGCCTGCTACCAGAGTCCAGGCGTTGCTGCTGATTTGAAAGGAGCAGCTTTTATTTTTATTTATTTATTTATTTTATGCAATTTATGTGCCGCCCTATCTCCAAGGACTCTATTGTTCCACTGTTCACTGTTTTACATTTGCACACCATGTCTTCTGAGAGGTCTCATGTAGAAGCAAATGAACCCCTTGCCATTAGCTTCATGGCTTCTCTCCCCACTCTTTCTCCTGCTTTAGCCCAGTTTAACTCTCCATCTCCCTCTGAGAAGGAGAGACAAATCTGCAAGAAACAAACCCTTCCTTCCATACTGGGTCCCCGTGAGCAAGCCTGGGGATCAGCTGGCGAACAGGCAGCCCTTGAGCGATCGCTCTCCCTTTCTCTCCTTCTCCTTCCCCTTGCTAATGAGGTGAGGGACAAAAAGCCCCATCGTTCCCATCTGCCAGGGCGAGGCTACTTGCCTCGCCATGCTTTTCCCGCATACACCCTCCTGGTGCCTAGGCTCTGCTTGGAGGGCAAGCCTGGCAGTCACAGCGCTCTGACTTACCTGTGCTGCACAGACTTTGCAGCTCCAGAGCGCCAGCCAAGGGCCAGTGCACTCCCCACCTCCTATGTGAGCAGGAGGGTTAAGAGTGCCCGGCCAGGCAGGGCCAGTCCCTCACTGCCTCCTTTGTGAAAACCAGGGATAGAGCACCCAGCCAGGCAGGGCTGGTCCCTCACCATCTCCAATACCATCTTTTCCCAGATAATAAGCTCTAATGGATCTTTCGGAGCCCCCAAAAATATAAGACCAGATCTTATTTTTAGGGAAACATGGTACCTAGGTATAGATAGCAGTTATTATTACTATGGTTCATTGCACAGTCAGCTAGATGTTCAGATTGGATTTGGAATTTTTGTCTGCCTGTCAGATCCTTCCCAAGGACCAGGGATAGACAGATGTGGGTGTTTGATGGTGATACCATTGCAAAATATAAGCTGTTCCAAGTAAAGCTGTCTGTCAGGGTTCCAACTGATGCCCTAATTAAATCATGAGCCTCGAGCCAAGCTTCAAAAGAAATCCAGTTATTTATTAGGAGCTTCATGTCAGCATGTTCCAAGTGAAGCCAACTCTGACCTCACTTAATTCATGCCCTTGCTCTGACCCTGTTTTCCCCTCCCCTGAAGGTGTGTCATCAGTCAAATTCCCCAACAAAGCAATTTCATGGGTTGTAGAGTCCCTCCCTCCGGCCACTGTGGGTATCCGTGGAGATGGCCTTGACATAGAGATGGCTGGAATGTGCTTTTGTTTTGACTGAAGTGTGATTCTCTCGCTGCAGCTGCGAGGCTCGGTTCCCCATCCCCCTGCCTATGGCAACTCAAGAGTAGGTCAGGAATGCTTCGCGAGTTGACACAGTCTTTTGCAATTGTTTTAGGATCTCAGCCAAGGTACCTCTTACTATTGATTGTACCTTTGCTTTCTTTTGCCACAGTCAGTCTATTCTGTTTGGACATCTTTGTATTTTGTTATCTTCTCCAGTTCTTTCTCTACAGTCTATCCAGACTTTTTTGTGTTTCTTATCAACAGTTGTTGAGTCTGGGGTATTATGTGGCAGATGACCAACTTCACATTCTTCAGATATTTCACACTGTGTGCATTAGAAATTTGTGTCTACTGTATCTGACTGCGTCAAGGCACATGAGAAACACTGCTCCATGTGTTGTGTTTATAAACATTATTTCTCTAGTTGAGATTTATAAATGTTTATGAGAAACACTGCTCCATGTGTTGTGTTTATAAACATTATTTCTCTAGTTGAGATTTATAAGGCAGCTATGTAATTCTTGGAGTGATTGTTTGTGCATCATTGCAAGCTAAATATGGGTAGTCCTCAACATACTACCATAATAGAGTTCACCCATTACAGGGTGCATGTTGTGATGGTCATAAATTGGCTGAGTCACATAACTAACCTGATTTTATGACCTTTTTTGTGGTTATCATTAAACAAATGTGGTTGTTAAATTAACATGGCAGTTATTAAATAATCCCATTGTTCGCTATGATGCGGTTTTTCCTAAAACCATATGTCATTTTAATTTTGGCAAAAACATTGTAAAGTGAAGTCACATGATTGCAAGACACTGCAGACAGCCATAAATCCAGCTGGGTTGCTGAATGTCTGAAATGCAGTCACGTGACTGGGTAGTAACTTGCTTGTTTCAGTAAGTCATAACTTTGAATGGTTGCTAAGCAACTGGTCATAAATCAGGATACATGTATCTTTGCCTTATTAAAAATTATTTGAAAAAGTACTCAGCAGCGTTTAGCCCAGTAGTGGGATTCTACTGGTTCGCACCGATTCGGTAGAACTGGTTGTTAAGTAGTTAAGCAATTTGGAGAACCGGCTGTTAGAAGAAATCTCCTTTTGTTTTTTTCCACTATACAGGGTTAATCCTGTAAGGAATTGTTTCCTAGCCTAATCTTTATTGCCCTGCTTACAGAAACTGCCTCTCCATTAACCCTTATTACATTCTTGGCAATATGCCTAGACTTACTGTTGCTTCCGGTTCCAGAGCTTCTCAGAGGTGTTTTTGGGTTTTGTTTTTTTTTTGGCTTGACTTTCTTAGAGGAGAAGGGTTGTTTTAAGCTTTTTACACCACTATTGGGAGGAAATACTCCCCTGTTGGAGTTCTTCCAGCCAGGGTGCAATGATCAGCACTTTGAAGAAATAATTGAATTACGAAGCAGAAGCTTTTAATGACAAGAAACTAAGATGAGTGACATTCAGCAAGGCTTATTGGCTAGCTAGAAAGATTGATGTTCAAAGGTGAGTTTACATACCCTTTCTAACTTTTGGTCTAAAACTGGTTTTTGGTGAAGTTTAATTCTCTGCTTGGTGATGTTTAATCCTATGTTTAGTGATGAGATAATTTTCCCTGTTCAGCTTTGTTTGGAAGTTAAAATGTTAATCTCTGTTCCTGAAAAGGAGCAGCTTCGGAAATCTGATTAGTTCCTGTGTCAATTTGTTCTGGTAATTGGTTTAACAAGCAACAGATACTCTGTTTGCTCCTTTTCTTCAATCTGGAGCGCTTAAATGACCTCTGCTAAAGGGTTTCATTTTATGAGCAAGAGTTGGCTGCTGATAGTTATCATTGCATTTTAATTCCTCAAGATGCTCTGGCATCCTGCCTGATTTGTAACTCCAGTTTGCAGGTATTTCTAATCTAATGATTGGTATTTAGGGCAGCTTTTTGCAAGCAAAGAAGCTTTTTGTATTTTTGTACATGTAATCCTTAATTTACAACAGTTACAATGGCACTGAAAAAAGTGATTTATGACCGTTTTTCACACGATTATTGCAGCAAACTGTCATTAGGGTAAAGAAGCAATGCCACATGACCACCTGGCCATGCCCACCTGGTCACATGAAGCACCACAGTTGTGAAATGAGTGACACGGTTGTTAAGAATGGTGCAATGGGCATAAATGATGAGGGGTCATAAGTGCGAGGACTGGTCAAAAGTGCGAAGACCTGTCAGAAATCACTTTTTTCAGCCCTCTGGTCCTCACACTTTTGACCGGTCCTCGTACTTACGACTGTCCTAACATTTTACGTTTTGCGCCCTATCTTGTCACCATGGTGAAGAGAAGCAATTGTGAAATGAGTCACACCATTGTTAAGAATGCTGCAATGGGCATAAATGTGAGGATGGTAATAAGTGTGAGGACTGGTCAAAAGTGCGAGGACAGGTCAGAAATGACTTTTTTCAGCCCTCTGAGTAGTCCCTATGCACATAGCCACAGCCACCCGGTCACATGACCACCAAGCCACCACCACCCCCCAAAATAAGTCACACCCACAGAATTGGTTGTTAAAAAAATTGAATCCCACCACTGGTTTAGCCCATAGGTTTTGTGCCACCAGTTCACAATAACACATAAGAATACTCACTTCCATTTTTAGGAGAAAAAAGTTAATATAATTCCTTCTACTATATTGGTTATCCTGCTCATTTAGCTTGATGATACTCATTACCAGAATTTAGAAGGGAAAGATTTTAAAATTTGAATTGTAATAAAAATAATTTTGTATTGTCTTGAAATAATTTTGTATACTGTCGTCTTCAAATAAATTTTATTATTGATAAATTCCTGAATCGGAAGGTAGATTTCATTTCCTTTTTTCCCAACTCATTTTACTACATTGCTTTCATTATAGAAAAGAAAAATACCATAGTAAGTTTAACATTTAAGTACTTTTTACTTTTGTTACTTACAAGCTTTGGTTCCAAAAAGTATATACCAGAGAAATCTTACTTTTTCTCTTTCCTCCATTTTGGCTTTAAATGAATCTGAAAACAAAAATACTTTATCTTTCTTTAAATAATTTTGCAGACTAATTTAGGATTGACTTTACCCCGTGGATACTGCAGATACTATTTCAATTCATTTAATGGCTGTAAGAAACCAAACTGCTGGTTTTCTCATGTTCTTGTATCAAGAGAAGATAAGGTAAAAACATGTTCCATTTCAGTATAAAATACTTTGCTAACTTTCAACCATAAATACAGCCATCAAAATCATCATAAATGTTTGCCTTTTAACAAATCATTTATATGATTATTAAATCTTTAAATTCATTAGATATTTGTTGATTTAGAGAAAGTGTATGATAAAAATGAATAAATTTCAGTAAAATACTACAAAGTTTGATATTTGCTGCATGCAGTAAGTGTGGCATACAGTAAAAGTAAAACGTATTAGAATAAAAATAAACAAATATAGTTCAGCTTTGATTTAACATATTTATGATTAGCTGTATAAGAAATGTTCTAGTGATACTTATAGGATATACATATCCATATAAACATGCTTTGAATTGTAGCCTCAAATAATTTGTTTACAATAAATGTATAATAATAGAAGAAAATTATGTGTTATCTTTTGACTAGCTGAAAAATAGTTTTGATACTATTTGGACTTTAAAGTAAATAACATAAATTTGCACTGGTTTTTTTTTTCCTTGTTTAGCAAAGAGTATTAACTTTGTGATTTTAATTTATTTACTAGCTTTGCAGTGAAATAATTAAGAAATATATAAGTATTGGTGGCGTAGTTTTGCTGCAACGGGCAGGTAATAAAAATTCAACATTACTACATACTAAATATATTGAGCTTGAGATTGACATCTGTTGATTTTCAGAATATAATACATATTAATAGCTCAAGAATTATCCTGATATTTCACTACTGAGTAGAAAGTTGACATTACAATAATTTGAATTTAATCTAGTTGAGTTAGAAAAGTGCCACTTAATTCAGTCAGATTTGATCTAGTTTAGAGCGCTATTGATATCAGATCCATAAAGCTGAAGCCACTGTATAGTTTTTAAATCTTTATCCTAGCACAGTATAATAGTTAACAAGTAATAGGAAATTAGGAATTAATAGGTTGCCAAGTCATCAGTATTGGTAGTCAGATAGGTATGTAGATTCCAAACATATAAAAATCTTCAAGCAGCTATCCAAAGACAATCCTTTTACATCAGAACTAGAACTAGAATTCCAGCTGAAATAAAATGTGTATAGCATGAGTACCTGATATTGAAAACTTTATCAATATTTAAATATTTAAATTGAATATTTAAAACAATACATAGAGATTTTAATCCTGAAAACAAACATTGCTAGGGAACACATGTGAAATTAATGACTGTTCATAGTTAAAAGAAAAAGTCAAAAGTCATTCTTCAAGATAAAGTTCTAGAGGCAAGATCACTGTATTTTGAAAACACTAGACATTTAATTCTGAAGCTTATGGTTTATTAACTATTCTTTCATCCCACTTTGTACTTAAGATAAAGAGACAAAACAGTGAATATTAAAATAGCCAGGAATTTGAAATACTGAAGTTTTAGCAGTTTTAATTAAGAAAGTGAATATTTTTAGATGCATAACAAAAAACATTTTGGATTATAAAATTTATATAAATAAGTATAAATTGAAAAAAATAATTCATTGTTAACTAATGTTTCATGGAATAATACTGATATATAAGAAATAAGATTACAAAAATTGTATGAAAAAATGATACTCTAGACCAGTGATGGCTAACCTTTTTGCCATTGCGTGCCAAAAGCGGGGGGAAGTTGCCTGTGTGTGTGCCCACACCCATAATTCTATGCACCCTGCCCCCTGCACATTCACGCATGCCGCCCTGGGCTCCCCCCGCTTTTGGCATGCAATGGCCCGGTGGGCCCAGTAGGCCCATTTTATGCTCCCCCCAGACTCCTAGAGAAGGCAAAAACGGCCTTTCCTATCCCCCTGGAGGCCCTCTGGAAGCTGGAAACGGCCCGTTTGCCAACTTCTGGTGGGACCTCGCATGCCCACTAATATGGCTCCAAGTGCCACCTGCGGCACGTGTGCCATAGGTTCGCCATCACGGCTCTAGACAAATCCCTTTCTATATCCCTTTCTAAAACTGAATTTCCATTGTATCCTTTTTATGTGTTTTACTTTTTCAAAATCAGTACAGATAATCTTGACTTACAATCACACTAGGGATCAGAATTTCCATCCTAAGACATTGCAGTCATAAGTTAAATTACCATGTTACTAGATTCAATTTTATGACAATCTTAATGATTGTTGTAAAGTGAGTGACTATGTTTAATAAGCAAATCCACATTCCCCAATGGAAATTGGCAAAAAAGGTCACAAATTTGATCATGTGACCTTAGGATGCTGCAACCAGTTGTAAATGTGAGATAATTGTCATGCGACCAAATTGAGATCACTTGACTTCTGGGATAGTGCAATGGTTTGCAATGGTCATCAGTCTGATCATAGGTCATAAAGCATCCTTTCTAAGGTTATTATAACTTTGAACCATCATGAAATGAACAAAATTGAAGATTATCTCTAAATCATTTCAGTAATCAATTACTTAAATACTGTTTTTGTTCACCTTTAAATTTCCTGTTTTATTTAGTATATATATTCTCAGATTACTGCAAAAAAGGTACCTCCGTATATCACTTGGATTTGCAAATGTTTCATGATCTCCTAACATCTTTGCTTCAGTCCTGTTTGCTGAAAGAACTTTTTCATGTAGTACACACTGGCATCAGAATTAAAATATTAGTAAGTGATCCTTCAATGTGTTTAACAATATTCTATATATTCCAATGAATTTAATTGAACCTACTCTCAGTTAAGTGGAGTATTTTTAGTTTATTGTAATATCTTTATATTTACATGCTGTTTGGATTTTGGATTGCTGTTTAGTTGTTAATTTAGTTTAGAATTCCCATGGTTATCCAATTAATTTCTTATGATATCATGGCAAAAATGATCTGAAAACAATTTAGAGATGATATGGTTAGTTTCCACAGGATCATATTGTCTGGTATTTAAATTCTGTTTGTGATAATTGTACAGAACTTGAATTCAAGCCATTTCACAAGTGGTAATATGACATTAGGCATATCTCAAATCTTCTTGAAATTGTGGAAATGAGAATCTTTAACATTTGCTTATCTTTTTGTAAATTTCATATTTTAAATATTAAGGTGGTTTTTTTTTGCTTAGCCAACTATAGATATTCTACTCAAAATATTTGAAGAAGTGGCTTTGATGAAAGTAAAAGAGGCAGTACCTGAATTATCTGATATCTTTCGTAAGGTATGATTTGGATTATTTAATTTTTTCTTAGAAACTTTGTTTCTAGAGCCTATATGATACATTGGAGATAATCTCACAAATAACACTTTTTTACTTTTATGGTCTCTCATACCAAAGAACAAAAACAGAGGCATGTTTTTAGAGTGATAACTATTTTTAAAATAGTTTATTGGCATTTTCAACTAAAATGCAGCCCATATAAAATAAATTCCAAAAGATGGAGAAGGTTAAATTAAAATGACCATGTTTAAAAAGTACTATGTTGATTATAGCTTAAAAACATGAGAAAGGAGTAAATTTTTGGAAATACAATAGAAATATTGTAGAATCCATTGGAGTTGGCAACTAATAAATTTGAATGAATAATAAATAATACCATTTTTTGGTTTTGCTAAAATGGTAAATGCATGAAAGATTTGGCATCAATTATTTGAATAAGAGTTGTCCACCTAAAATTTTGGCATTTACCACTACCTGTAGACTTTGGTAGAGATTGAGCCTATATAATATTAGAAAGAAAGCAACTGCTACTACTTTTCAACACTTTTATATATACATATAATGAAAACCTAAAAGTATACATTATTAAATAATAATATAGTTTGTTTATTGGTTATAAAAATTTGCTTTGAATCTATTGGCTGCTATGACTGTTTCATATTAAAGTATACTCTGACCATCTTATCAACATAGTATTATATTGCGGCCATTGAGTAGCCCCTGGTTAATTTAGCAATATCTAGATTGAGTATATGGAAGTATATGGAAAATGTTGTCATCAACTGTTAGCTTAACATCCCTAATCATAAACACATTGACTATAAGGAGCCTTTGACATACATTATCTATTTTTTCCTTGTTTTTGTAAAGAATTTTGCAAGCACTTAATTGTGGAAATCTTGAAAATGTTCTTTATCAATGGGTTTTTTGTTACTATAGCTTATTGATGTTGGAATGGTTCTTGAACATGAACATATTAGACATATCACCAACTTACTAAACCAGTTACATGTTTCCAGCGAGGAAATTGCTATGCTTAGATCCAGGTATGTACTTCTTAATACTCTTTTAAAACTTCAAGTGGATAACATTTTGAAGTATCAATGCCCATAAAACTATATCAATCTATACCAGCTATATTTGTTCATAAGTAATTAATTATTATCTTCTTATGTTTTTTAACTTCATACCTTGTCAGAGCGTTTGTAGCATGACTACTTTTAGGAGACAACCCAGGAGCAAAACACAGCACACAGCAGAGACTTAGACAATTAACAGTGGTTTATATACAAGATATATACAGAAAGATACCTGGTAGCAAATACCTGATGAGTAATCAATCTTCTCTACACGGAGAATTTAGCAAAGGATATACACAAAGAGAGAGAGAGAGATGCCCTCTCATGGCCGCCTTTATATAGACACCTCTTAAAGTGGTAAAAGACTTGTGTGGACCCCTTCAGAGTCTTAAACTGGCTATAACAATGCTGAGTCATTCTCATGGCATCAGCCTTACATTTCATCATCTTTACAGTTGAATCAGCCTTACATTGGCTGGTCAGCATTAAATCATCATTACTCTGACACTCCTCCCATTTAAGATGAACAGCTAAATGCTTTAACATATTCCCAATGCTTACTGTTTATATTATATCCTTGTCTCCTGCTACGGTTACTATTCTCATTGCTACACACACTACTAGTACCTTTACCACTATAGCTGCTGAAACTATTCCTACAGTCATTATCTACTGACTTTGTACACTCTGTCTCATTAATCTCCATTACATTCTGTTCACCATCTCTTAGCTGGATATTTTACTTTCCCAATCTCGCTCAATCTCCTCGGTTTGGTTTATCTGCCTTGGTTTGGTTTATCTTCTCTTTAACTTTGGCTTCCTCCATTTATTTTGTTGTTCCTTAGGAAATGATTATGACCATATTTCTTGATTACGGGTTCGTTATGAACACCACCCACTCTAACCCCATTTGCAGTGAACCGCTCAAGAGGTATAACTTTATCACACCATTCAGGACTCCTAGATCTCACACTGTTTGCTTACCTTGCGTTTTGTCTACTCACAGGATACATCCTGTGATGTATTGTGCCTCATTACAAACAGCTCACTTTAAATATCTCTTGCACTGCTTTGACTTTTGCTGTGACTTATGCCACCTAGCTAGGTCTGGTGTCTTCTGCAGCCCTCTATAACTAGCATACTCACCTCCCTTATTCAACAAATGTACACACTCATCATGTGTGGGAGCCTTTGTACCTTGTTCTCATGCTTTCCTAGAACATACAGGCCATTCTTCTTAACTCCTCGTGCATGTATCCTCCCACCTTTCCTAATGGAATACTCTCCTCCTGCAAATAGGAATTCATAACCCTACCTATCTAACATGGATATACTCAACAGATTATTCTCTAATGCAGGTACATATAAGACATTGTACAATGTATCATCTATTGTTGATACATAAACATTACCTTCCCCTTTTACAGCAGCTCTTTTACCATTAGCCAAACCAACACATGTTTGCTTAGCTGGTCTTAAACCTGAAAACGCTTGTGGATTATTTGCAATGTGCTGGCTCACCCCACTATCCAACAATCAAGTGTTCCTGGTGTTTGCAGATGCCATCACTGCCAGGGAAAACAACACTGGAGAACCGTTCCTCATGTTTCTTCTCTCAGGGCAGTGTCTCTGGAGATGCTTAGTAGACCCACACACGTAGCATCTCTTCACAAAGTTCACTTTCTCAGTTGGTTTGCTGCCATCCTGAATCTTTGTAGATGCTGGTCTGTGATGTAGGCTCTGTCCTCCCTTTCCTGGTCTCCTCTCCAGCCATTTCTACTCCTTCTCTAACAGTTGACCAGTTCAATATGCCATGGTTAAATCCCACTCTTGCATAGACTCCAGACTGGTCACAAGAGCGTCCCATGAACTGTCCAAGGAACTGAGCACCACATACACCTTGTTTGCTTCAGTAAACGTCATTCCTCTGTCCTCTAACTACTGGAATGTACTCCTCATATTCTGCAGATGTGTGGACATACACTCTTCCGGCTTCAGCTAGGCCTTATACAATCTCCTAATCAGCAACACTTTGCTGCCCGCAGTTTCTCTCACATACACACAGCACTCTTTCGCAGACTGGGGACCACTCATGTGTATTAGCTGACTGTCTTCCAAGGCAAGAATTATGCTGGCTAATGCCTTTTCATTTTTCCTCTGGTCTCCATCACCCAGGACCCCTGGTGTATTAGAAACAATTGCCCACAACTCCTCTCTCCACAGGTACATCTCCATCTTCACACTTCAGGAGAGGTAGTTTGTCTCAGCCGAGACACCAAGAAACCTCCCATTATGCCAACAGAGGCCATGTTGCCTGCTAACCACAATTTAAACCACTTACTCTAGTGCAAGCTCCCACTGGGTTACTCTTCCTTCTAAGCTGTCTAGTCACTCTGGCCTTCTCTCTGGACTGGGACTATAACCTGTCAGAGCATTTGCAGCGTGATTACTTTTAGTAGACAACCCAGGAGCAAACCACAGCACACAGAGACTTAGACAATTAACAGTGGTTTATATACAAGATATATACAGAAACATGTGGTAGCAAATACCTGACGAGTAATCAATCTTCTCTATATGGAGAATTTAGCAAAGGATACCGGACACCCGGACAGATATACACAAAGAGAGAGAGATACACCCTCTCATGGCCACCTTTATATAGACACCTCTTAAAGTGGTAAAAGATTTGTGTGAACCCCTTCAGAGTCTCAAACTGGCTATACCAATGCTGATTCATTCTCATTGCATCGGCCTTACATTTCATCAACTTTATTCCTCAATTTATGTACTGAATTGCTCAAAAGACACATAAGGGAATGCAATGGCAAAATTAATACTTGTAAATGAAAGATCTTTAATTACCAAATTGCTGTATACAGATTTGTATTCATGATCTTTGTAATATAATACTAAGAGTTGAATCTACAGGTGGTTTTTGACTTTCAATTACAATTGACTCTAAAATTTTTGTTACTAAACAAGATATTTTGTCGCTAAGCGAGACATTTGTTAAGTTAATTTTGCCCCATTTTACGACCTGCCACAGTTGTTAAGTGAATCACTGCAGTTTTAAATTAGTAACATGGTTGTTAATTGAATCTGGCTTCCCCATTCCTTTGTTTATTGGAAAGTCACAAAAGGTGATCACATGACCCCGGGACAGTGCAACCGTATCAATTGCCAAGCATCTGAATTTTGATCATGTGAGCATGGGATGCTGCAATGGTGATAATGGTGATAGCACTTTTTTCAGTGCTATTGTAACTTTGAATGGTCACTAAATAAACTGTTGTAAATTGAGGACTAGCTGTATTTGATCATGCCTTAAATATTCATTCACAAGTTTTCTGTCCTGCTGGACTCCAAAATGACCCCCATTATTTCACAGATTAAATAAAAACGTAACAAGCACTGAACAAGCAGTTTAAAATTTAAAAATACCACTGGCACTAAACCTGCTAGCGATTATACAGATCAAAGGTTCTATGAAACAGCACTATTTAATGACATTCCTAGAAGACTTCAAAGAAGGAACCAAGTGCATCCCAAGGGCAAAGTCGATGTGTTCCAAAGAGATTGCAGCAGATAAAACATTGCCTCTAAACCTTTTCCCATCAATCTCTTGAATAGACATTATTAAACATTCCTTTACCAAATAAGTGTACAAAATGAACTTCTAATCAAAGAAGACAGTTCAGAAGGTAATCCTCACAAGTGAGCCAGAAAGATACTGAATGCCATTGAGGTTGATGAAGAGGGCTACATCCCGCCATCCAAGCAGTGGTGGGATTCAGCCAGTTCGCACCACTTCGGGAGAACCGGTTGTTAACTTTCTGAACAGTTTGGTGAACTGGTTGTTGGAAGAAATCATTAGGGCAGAGAACCGGTTGTTAAATTATTTGAATCCCGCCACTGCATCCAAGTCCTGACAAAAATCATCCAGCAGAGCACTTCTGAAGTTGATATATTCTCTGCATTGTTCACAATCCACAACAGCCACTATCCCTAACCTTCAAATTCCTGGTAGTGATCCTAGCACCTTACTTCAGAATTCTGCATCATGACCACACAACCACCAAATGCAGCATTTTTCATGAGTTTCATATATGACAAAAATAAATAAGGCTGTTCACATTTTGTAACCCAAAATTAAAAACTTCCCAATGATAGCTTAATATAGATGCCAGTAATGGACAAATACTGGCTCTGAGACAAAATTAAAGGCAATGGCTGCTAAGTAGCAGTGATGAGATGCTTTTGAAATAATTTCAAAGATTGTAGCCATCCCTCATCTTCATCCCCCATCTTTAAAGTATTCTGAGTAAAAAAGTCCACCTTCAAATCTTCTGCAGTACTACAAGATACAGTTTTCTTGGTATGCTTTCCTATGCTCAAATGTATTAGGAGTAATCAAAGTATATTTTGCAAAGTATGTGTTGTTGAATCCTAATAAAATAGAGAAATAGTTAATGGTTTGACAGAGATGAACAGTTCAAGCTTCCCAAACTGCAGTGGTTATTAGACTGCAGCTCCATAGTCCTCTAAAAGTTGATGGGAAATTGTATGTTAATGTGTAGAACAGAAAAACTGTTAAAAATATAAATACACATGTAATTATAATCTGAATTAATTTCAACAATTGAGTTTAATTTTTGTTGAATTCTGTCTACATTTTTGAATGTGGCTCCTTAGAATACTCGCCAAAGATAAAATAAGATCTTTAGCATGAAAAAGCTGCACTTATGCAATGATTTGGGGTTTGATCTATTTATTTATTTATTTTATTATTTATTATTCATATTTCTATGCCATCCACTCTCCGAGGACTCTGGGTGGCTTACACCAAAGACAGTATACTAAATAGCATATTGCCCCTAACAATCTGGGTCCTCCAAAAAAATCTATTGCCTTTTATGCTAAACACTGATTAAAAGATTTTTCAATTGCAGCGTACTATATAAAAGTTTGTTCTTAAAGATTTCAGGAAAGGCATTTTCACAAGGCCATCTTTTGTGATTTTGATTCAACAGTAGCAGCATTTAAGGTAGGCTGTACACCGCCCTGAGACCTTCGGGAGAAGGGCGGTATAGAAATAAAATTATTATTATTATTATTATTATTATTATTATTATTATTATTATTATTATTATTATTATTATTATTACTGTGTATATATTTATTTTTAGAAACTTGGTATTAATGATTAGTTATTATGTAAAACATTACGATTCACAGGGTAAATTGTTATTGTCTCAGTTTTCATTAGTTTACTATTTATTGTAAAAATGAAAAGACAATAATTTAAAAATTGTGAAGATAGTAAATATGGAAAATAAAGTTCAATTTTTTTAAAAAAAACCTGAGTAGCCAATCGCATAGTCACTAGTTTTCATTTTCATGCACTATTTTCTTAAACCATATCTATCTTACGACCACAATTGAGCCCAAGTATTTTGGTCATAAGTCATTGTGTTTGTTACGTGAGATGCCCATGTTACTGTTTTATGCAATGATCCCAATGCTGACTTTCCTTGTTGAGATTGTTAAGTGATCTTAAGCAGTGGGGGGAGGAGAGGTGCCTGGGAGGGGGAGGCCCAAAACAGGCCATGTATGCTGGGTAGGTGCAGTGCAGTGCAAAGCTGCAGTTGCCCCAGCTCAGCTCTGAAATGCAGCAGTTTGGAGGCAGGGCCTGGGCCTGAAGTAGGGGCTCAGAGCATTCAGCATTCTTAACTGAACATTAAGATGGTGCTGAACAAAGGAAGTTACAACCCATGCCTGAAGTTAGGTCTGTTGCAGTGCCCCTGTGATCACTGATGACAAAATTTGGGGTGTTTATCCCTGCCCTCCTCTCACAACTTCAAAGGGTCTACCCTCATCCCAACTACCTTCAGCAGTCTGAGAAATCTGCCATCATTTAGACCTCTAAATCAGCCTTTGTGTCGTTGCTGCCGGATGCCTTCCACCTCCCCACATCCACCTATTTCACCCGGTCTACGCTGTCCTACATAGCCCCATATGAACAGGCTCCATTCTTCAAAATCCCCATTAGACCTGGAAGTTTAGGGAAAGTCTGTTCATGTGGAGCTTCCAGAGGCTTCCAAAGACATGAAAAACTTCCAGAGGTTTCCAAAGTTGTGCAGGATCTTCAAAGGCTTCTGAAGTTGTGTGATACATGCCACAGAAATGAAGGTGACTGAGAACTGCCTCATATTGGCGCCTCAGCAAGAAAAAAAGTGTCTGCAAATAAGTGTCCACAGCTGATACTTGGGAGTGCTGAGTGGCAGGGCAATCATGCCATTCCCCAAGACTCACATGTCAATGGAGATCCTCAGTCATTCAGGTCATGGTTGTCCTAAAGGTGCTTTTTCAAGAGGCAATTGGACTTTCTGGTTTTTCTTTGTTTGTTTGTTTGTTTGTTTGTTTGAAGACATTTTGCTTCTCATCCAGGAAGGATGGGAAGCGAAATGTCTTCAAACAAAAAAGAAAAGAAAAAAGAAAAACCAGAAAGTCCAGTTGCCACTTGAAAAAGCACCTTTGGGACAACCAAGACTCACATGTTTTACAGAATGCAGTGAGGTGGCATTTTTGAGTGGCAGCAGCGATGCAAGCCCTGGGCATTGGCAGCTGCTTCAGACTGCTGAGGACAGTGATAGTGGGAAAGATAGGTGGGGGAGTTGCAGCACCCCTGCATTTTGTCAAGCATCTAAATTTTTATCGTATGACTACAGGGGTGCCGCAACAAACCTAATTCAGGCGTGTTAGTACACTGTGTGCACAATTATTAGGCAAGTTGTATTTTGGAGGATTAATTTTATTATTGAACAACTACAGTGCTCTTGGTCAATTAAAATATTAATAAACTTCAAACCTGAATATTTAAGAAAATAAAAGTGAGGTTTTGGCTTTCTTAGGAGAATATCTGTGTGCACAATTATTGGGTAACTATTAGTGTGCAGAATTATTATGCAACTAAATGCATCTGTTAAAGTGAGAATAATAAACAAACAACTCAAAATGACATTTCCCCCCGAAAAAATCAGTGACCAATATAGCAACCCTTCTTTTTAATAACAATTATAAGCCTTCCATTCATGGAACCTGTCAGTTTCTTGATCTGTTGACAATCAACTTTTTATGCAGCAGCAACCACAGCCTCCCAGACATTGTTCAGAGTGGTGTACTGTTTTCCTTCACTGTAAATCTCCCGTTTAAGAATGTTCCACAATTTCTCAATAGAGTTTAGGTCAGGTGAGGAAGGGTGGCATGCCATTATTCTTTCACCCTTAAGGCCTTTACTGGCTACCATGCAGTGGAATACTTAATGGAGCATTGTCCTGCATAAAAATCATTGTCTTCTTGAAAGATGCAGACTTTTTCCTTGTACCACTGCTTGAAGAAAGTGTCTTCTAAAAACTGGCAGTAGGCTTGAGAGTTAATTTTGAGTCCATCTTAAACTCGAAAAAGTCCAACTAGCTCATCTTTAATAATATCAGCCTATACCAGTACCGCCTTGCTGGCATCTGAGCCAAAGTGGAGTTCTGTGTCCATTACTGATCCAGCCATGGGCTCATTCATCTGGCCCAACAAGAATCACTCCCATCTCATCAGTACATAAAACCTTTGAAAAATCTGCCTTCAGATATTTCTTGGCCCAGTCTTGCCATTTCAACTTATGTGTCTTGTTCAGTGGTGGTCAGGTTTCAGCCTTCCTTACCTTGGCCATGTCTCTGAGCACTGAACACTTTGTACTTCTGGGCACTTCAGGTAGATTGCAGTTCTGGAATATGACAGCACCGAAGGATAAAGGATTCCTAGTAGCTTCACGTTTGATTCTTCTCAAATCTTTGAAGTTAATGTGTGCCTTTTTTTTCAACATGTTTCTTAACGACCCTGTTGACTGCAACAAAACATTTGATGGTTCTGCCCCAATATCTTAACAATTTCAAGAGTTTTTACAATGTTTGACTTTTCAGAGTCAGTTAAATCTCTTTTTTGGCCCATTTTGTCTGAGGAAAGGAAGCTGCCTAATAATTATGCACACCTTGATATAGGGCCGTGATGGTGAACCTATGGCACGTGTACCACAGGTGGCATACAGAGCCATATCAATGGGCACGCGAGCTCAGCTCAGCTCCGCCACACATGCGCATGGAGGCCAGCTGATTTTTGGGCCTTCTGGGCCCACTGAAACTAGAGAAACAGGCTATTTCCTGCCTCCGGAGAGCCTGGGGGGTGGGGAAGGCCGGATTTTCACTCTCCCCAGGCTCCGGGGACTTTTTAGGAGCCTGGGAGGGTGAAAATGGCCTTCCCCATCCCCCCGGAAGCACTCCGGAGGCCGGAAATGGCCCATTTGCCAACTTCTGGTGGGACTGGAAGGCCCGTTTTTCTCTCCCCCCAGGCTCCAGAGCCTTTCTAGGACCCTGGGGAGGGCAAAAATGGCCTTCCCCATACCCCCGGAGGCCAGAAAAGGTCTGTTTTCCAACTTCCAGTGGGACTGGAATGCTCGTTTTTCTCTCTCCCCAGGCTCCAGAGCCTTTCTAGGAGCCTGTGATGGGCGAAAAACAGGTCTACTGTGCCATCATGTGCCAAAATTGGGGGGAGCGCAGGGGGTCACGCACGCATGTGCAGGGGCGGGGTGCAGAGAATTATAGGTGCAGGCACACACATGCACAACCCCCCCGCGCTCCCCCCGCTTTTGGCACATGGCAAAAAGGTTAGCCATCACTGATATAGGGTGTTGATCTTCTTAGGCCACACCCTCCCTTATTACAGAGATACAAAGCACCTGATACACTACTAAACATTCAAGTTTATACTTGTGTTCAACAAGACTTCTAGAGTTAAGATAAACAACAGCGGGGATAACGGACAACCTTGCCTTGTACCTTTTTCTATACTGAAGTTTGTAGTTAAGCTTCCATTAATAATAATTTATGCTGTTTGCTCTTGATAAATTGCTGAAACCGCCTGCACGAACTGATCCCCAAAGTCCATCTTTCTTAAAGTCTTTAATAGAAAGTTCCAATTCACTCGATCAAAGGCCTTCTCCGCATCCAAAAACACCAGCACTGCAGAGATCTGTTTATTCTTCTCAAGATATTCCAATAAATCTATAATTTGCCTCACATTATCCTTCATGTATCTGCCTTCTATAAATCCTGCTTGATCATGATGAATCACCTCTTGAATAACTGGCATTAATCTGTTGGCTAATACTTTTGCAAAAAAATTTATAATCCGTATTCAGGAGAGATATTGGCCTAAAATTTTCCGGTTTTGTGGAACCTGCTTCCTCTTTCGGTATCAAAGAAACAAAAGCTGTTTTCCTTTTTTATTGAAAAAGTTTTACAAATACAAATTTTTCCCCATTTCCCCCCCCCCCTTTCCCTCCCTAACCCTCCCCTCCTCCCATGACTTCCCCAAGGTGAAATCCAAATCCAAATCATATTGTGTCATCATACTTTACCACACATCTATTCTACCCCCTGTGAACTATACATTTCTACATGACATTGAACTATTCTACCCCCTATATACTATACATTTCTACACAACATTCAACTAAAAGCTATCTGGTACTTCCTAGTTTGATATTTATTCTGCACATAATCTATCCATTTCTTCCACTCCCATACATAAGTCTCTTGAGTCCGGTCTTTTAAGTATGCTGATATCTTCGCCATTTCTGCAAAACTGGCCACCTTCAAAGTCCATTCTTCAATAGTAGCAAAACATCCCTTTTCCAATACTGACCAATCAGTAACCTAGCTGCTGTCACCATATATAATATCAATTTTGTCTCACCCCTTGAAAAATCCTTAACTATACCCAATAAGAACAATTGAGAAGAAAATTGGAGTTTTTTCTTCAGAACATTTTGCATAACCCACCAAATTTTTATCCAGAAAGCCTTCACTTTCTTGCAAGTCCACCATATATGATAATATGTAGCATCTAAACAATCACATCTCCAAAATTTTGGTTGAACATTAGGATACATACACGACAATTTCTTAGGATCTAAATGCCATCTATAAAACATTT